AGAAGAAATAACAACTATGTTTATCATACATGTGTAGTTTCAGTTTCAACCATGGTTCTAAATTTAGATTTTACTTTCCCAGAAAATTGCGCACGAAATAGAAGACACCTGTTTATTTTCTGCACCTGTGGATAAAGTTGAAAACGGAGCGTTTTTACACACTCTGAGATAAGTGTTCAATTCTTAGTTTCTGTGTGATGTTTTTTTTGGTTGTTGTCTTTGTTCTTGGACTTGTAAATGTTGCACAAGTGGTTGATTACCCCCTTGGTATCTTCTTACTTTTTATATAAATATAAATAAAATGCTCCGCAGGGCGCAGTTTGATACGACCGCAGAGGTCGAACCCTGTACAGTTGGGGCAAGTATGGACACAACATTCAAGCTTGATACAGCTCTGAATTTGGATTGTGATTAAATATTTGACACAGCATAGGTTTCTGACACAGAATGAATGTGGTCTAAGAACTTAAAAATTTTAAATTGGACATTCACCTATTATGGTCCAATATCCAAAATCTAAATACATGGTTAGATTCAGCATATCAAAGAACCCCAAGAATTCAATTTTTGATGAAATCAAACAAAGTTTAATTTTGGACCCTTTTGATCTCAATGTGGACAAAGTTGATAACGGGGCCCAAAAATCAAAAATCTAAATACATGGTTAGATTCAGCATATCAAAGAACCCCATATATTCAATTTTTGTTGAAATCAAACAAAGTTTAATTTTGGACCCCGATTTGGACCAACTTGAAAACTGGGCCCATAATCAAAAATCTAAATACATGTTTAGATTCAGCATATCAAAGAACCCTAAAAATTCAATTTTTGTTAAAATCAAACTAAGTTTAATTTTGGACCCTTTGGACGTTTATGTAGACCAATTTGACAACGGAAACAAAAATTAAGAATCTAAATACACGGTTAGATTCGGCATATCAAAGAACCCCAATAATTCAATTTTTGATGAAATCAAACAAAAAAAGTTAAATTTTGGTCCTTTGGACCTCAATGTGGACCAATTTAAAAATGGGGCCCAAAATCCAAAAACTTAATACACGGTTAGATTCAGCATATTAAAGAACCCCAAGAATTCAAGAATAAAACCCCATTGAAATTGATCAAGAAATAAGCAATTTATAGGAAGTATCTTCTTTTGCACAATACTGTGCAATTGAATATTTCTTGCTATTGCGCAATACTGTACAATTGACAATTTCTTGCTATTGCGCAATATTGTGCTATTGGATATTTCTTGCTATTGCACAATACTGTGCAATTGAAGATTTCTTGCTATTGCACAATACTGTGCAATTGAAGATTTCTTGCTATTGTGCAATACTGTGCAATTGAAAATTTCTTGCTATTGTACAATACTTATTATATAATAATTTACACATCCTGTTTGGTGTGTATCTCCTACCATATCATTATTATTTGCTTTTAAATATAAATAATCAGAAATAACCAACTTAAAATGGAAAATTTTAAAAGAAAAAAAAAGGAAAAAAAGAAAAAAAAAAGAAAAAAAAAAAAATCCCCCCCCCCTAAATTTTTTGAACCCCCTTATGATTCATCACCCCCGAACTCAATCCCAGCCTTTCCTTTGTGGTATGGTACCTTGCAGTACAATTTCAGAGAGATCCATACACTTGACAAGTTATTGTCTGGAAACTAGAAAAATGCTTATTTTTGGCCCCTTTTTGGCCCCCAATTCCTAAACGTTTCGGGCAATTACCCCCAAACTCAATTCCAGCTTTCCCTTTGTGATATGGAACCTTGTAGTACAATTTCAGAAAATATCCAAACACTTAAACACAAGTCATTGTCATGAAACTAGAAAAATGCTTGTTTTTTGCCCCTTTTTTTGGCCCCTAATTCCTAAAATTTTGAGGCAATTACCCCCAAAATCAATTACAGCCTTCCCTTTGTGATATGGAACCTTGTGGTACAATGTCAGAGAAATCCATTCACTTACACACAATTTATTGTCTGGAAGTTACAAAAATGCTTATTTTTGGCCCCTAATTCCTTAACTGTTGGTACTATAACCCCCAAAATCAATCCCAACCTTCCTTTCGTGGTATTGAACCTTATGGTAAAATTTCATGGAGATCCATTCACTTAAACTAAAGTTAGAGTGTGAAAACCAATGTGTCTTCGGACGACGCCGGAGACGACGCCAACGTCATACCAATATACGACCAAAAAATTTTCAATTTTTGCGGTCGTATAATCATGTCCTAAAATTTTCAATTGCATAAAAAACGAACACGTCAACGACTTTCTAGTTCAACACACAAATTCACATGTCATATCATTATTCATAACCTACAATTTTATGCTATTGTGTGTATTTCATTCAAAACTACGGCTTTTCAAAAAAATATTGTGGGGTCAATTCTGGTTTGATTTTAATCAATTTGGTACGAATAGAAGCAGAATTGTCACTGGTTTATTCTTTTATTTTGTTATAATTTTGTTGTTAGGCGTTTTTACTTTCTGTTTATATAAACACGAGTCGTATTGTGTACCCTCTCCTGCGTGTCTAAAATAAAAACAGTGGTAATAGAGTCAGGATAACTAACAATAGGATACTAAGATTTCTAACTGGAGTCCTTCTGATAAATTTCTTTGAAGTTTTGAAACAGCACAAGTATATTTGTTTGGATTCATGATAAACCGCAGGGTCATTTATTTTTTCGTGTGCCCATTTTTCCTTTCTTTGAGTAAGGGAGATAACTCGCGTAACCATTGACACATGTTTTTTATCCCAAATTCTGCTAGAGGCATGCAATTACATATACTTCGCCTTAAGGCGTTCATTGACATGCTGAATCTAACCATGTATTTAGATTTTTGTTTTTTGGCCCAGTTTTCAAGTTGGTCCAAATCAGGGTCAAAAATTAAACTTTTGTTTGATTTCAACAAAAATTGGATATATGTGTTTCGTGGTAATTAGCATTGTGTATAAGTTTAATAACATTTGGTTGAGGCAAAATCAAGTTAGAGAACGGAAACCAATTTTGGGACGTACGAACATACAGACGGACAAGGGTAAAAATTAATGCCCCCTCCGCTACGGCGGGGGCATAAAAAGTCGATCATCCACCATTATACAACTTGTCCGAGATATTGCTGATATTAGCCTATAGCATAAGTTTTATAATAAAATGCTTCGCTGGGGCGCAGCTTGATACGACCGCAGAGGTCGAACCCTGAACAGTTGGGGCAAGTATGGACACAACATTCAAGCTTGATACAGCACTGAATTTGGATTGCAATTAAATATTTGACACAGCATAGGTTTCTGACACAGAATGAAAGTGGTCTAAGAACTTAAAATTTTTTAATTTACCTATTCAAACCATATCATTATTATTTGCTTTTATATATAAATCAGAAATAACCAATTTAAAATGGAAAATTCTAAAGAAAAAAAAGGAAAAAAAAATCCCTCCCCAAATTTTTTGAACTCCCTTATGATTCACCACCCCCAAACTCAATCCCAGGCTTCCCTTTGTGGTATGGTACCTTGCAGTACAATTTCAGAGAGATCCATACACTTGAACACAAGTTATTGTCTGGAAACTAGAAAAATGCTTGTTTTTTGGCCCCTTTTTGGCCCCAAATTCCTAAACGTTTAGGGCAATTACCCCCAAACTCAAACCCAGCTTTCCCTTTGTGATATGGAACCATGCAGTACAATTTCATAAAGATCCATACACTTACACACAAGTTATTGTCCTGAAACTAGAAAAATGCTTGTTTTTTTGCCCGTTTATGGCCCCTAATTCCTAAAATTTTGAGGGAATTACCCCCAAAATCAACCCCAGCCTTCCCTTTGTGGTATGGTACCTTGCAGTACAATTTCAGAGAGATCCATACACTTGAACACAAATTATTGTCTGGAAACTAGAAAAATGCTTCTTTTTGGCCCCTTCTTCCTAAGCTTTTTGGTCAATTACCCCCAAACTCAATTCCAGCTTTCCCTTTGTGATATGGAACCTTGTAGTACAATTTCATAAAGATCCATACTCTTACACACAAGTTATTGTCATGAAACTAGAAAAATGCTTGTTTTTTGCCCCTTTTTGGCCCCTAATTCCTAAAATTTGGAGGCAATTACCCCCAAAATCAATCCCAGCATTCCCTTTGTGATATGGAACCTTGTGGTACAATGTCAGAGAGATCCATACACTAACACACAAGTTATTGTCATGAAACTAGAAAAATGCTTGTTTTTTGCCCCTTTTTGGCCCCTAATTCCTAAAATTTGGAGGCAATTACCCCCAAAATCAATCCCTGCATTCCCTTTGTGATATGGAACCTTGTGGTACAATGTCAGAGAGATCCATACACTTACACACAAGTTATGTCTGGAAGTTACAAAAATGCTTATTTTTGGCCCCTAATTCCTTAACTGTTGGTACCATAACCCCCAAAATCAATCCCCACCTTCCTTTTGTGGTATTGAACCTTATGGTAAAATTTCATTGAGATCCATTCACTTAAACTAAAGTTAGAGTGCGAAAACTAATGTGTCTTCGGACGACGACGCCGCAGCCAACGTCATACCAATATACGACCACAAAAATTTTTTTGCAGTCGTATAAAAATCTGGCAAGAATTGTACCCGTGAGAGTGCTAACAAGACCGGAGGGACACACGGACGGACGGACACCCGGTATTTCCATGTCCCCCGCAACGCGTTACACTTGGGACAAAAAATTTTTTTTTTTAATGAGAAATGATAATATGTAAAATATCGGGTAGGTAAAAGTCCAATTTCAAATTTTTCAGTTCTTCGACCACATTCATTCTGTGTCAGAAACCTATTCTGGGTCAAATATTTAATTATAATCCAAATTCAGAGCTGTATCAAGCTTGAATGTAGTGTCCATACTTGCCTTAACTGTTCAGGGTTCGACCTCTGCGGTCGTATCAAGCTGTGCCCCGTGGAGCATTTGTTCTGTGTGTTATACTGAATAAACCAGACTGAGAGTATGTAACATTTTATTTGATATTTTATGATAATATTTATTATGAAGAAGGAAATTGGCAATGATCTAAACAGTGATATTCTTTGATGGCATCTAAACATTAATCATGATCAAGTTTTTTAAAATGAATTTAAAGAACTCTGAAAAGATTAAACTTAAAAAATGTGATACATTGTATTGGGTAGATGCTGACAACATATATAATAATATATAGGTAAAAAGTGAAATGATTCAATTAGAGGTTCAAAGACAACTGAATCACTCATTTGACAATGAATCTACAATCTAAGCATTAATGTTCATTCAAATAATTAAAACAAATGTATAAGTTAATTAAAAGATCTTGTTACTCTTTTTAACAATCACAACATGCCTTAAAAAAACAAAAAAACAACTGATAAAATTATGTCAAAAAGTTAAATATGATTTTAGATATTCATAATAGTTTCATCTTTTTCTATTTAAAATTTTACATTGACTTTGTCATTTGGTAAATTTGATATATCAATTGTATTTATATATAAAATATTTGACTATTTATTATCAAGGATTTAAAACATTCTTAAAGGCATAATCCATAAACCAACATTCTGAGAAAAAGACTCTAAAGAAAATTGCATAAAATAGGAAATAAACCGACCGTGTGAGGGCTGTATAGCCAGTCAAGGTCGTTAAAAACTCCAATCAACATAAATAGGAAAATGCACAATATAATTCATCTAAACAAAAACACATTGAAATGTATATATATGTTCTGGTAGTTACCTTTATATTGATATATACATATAGCCTCTTATAAATGAATTATTCAAATCACATTATGAACAGCTAAGCAAAAAAAAAGTTAAAGTTGAAAATTGGTCATGGAGACAAGTCTTGATCTCCAACTTAAAAGTACTACTGTAGATATACTATTCCAAATAATTTATATAAGGAATAACTGTAATATTTTTTCTGTCTATGAAGAAATAACATCAAAAATGTTGTGCACACTGAATAACCCATGTAGCAGGTTATTTAAAAGTGTGCACCACATTTTTGGAGTTATTTCAAATAGACAGAAAAAATATTAGTCATTCCTTATAATTTAATTCTAAATTCCATTTTTAAGGAGTAAATAATGAAAAAACATTGATGATGTCACGGTCACATGACAATATTATGTCTATAAACCACAAATTCAATGAAGTACAACACATTTTAAAAAGGCTTGTAAGCAAACCTTGGCAATTCCACGAAATAAAATATCCACAAAAATTGGTATCCACTAAAAATAAATGAATCCACAGTATAAATTATTTTGAATTAAAATCCCATTTGATGATATGTAAGAAACCCGAACTTCCTTACCTCTCGCCCCCTACATCAGTTTTTCATTTTTTTTATTTATAGAATTTCTGGATAAACTCAAACATTAAAATTATAAAACAATGCTCTGCCATACTATATGATCTTATTTACAAAAGAGAAGGTGATTTCTTTTAATCCTTTAATCCATTTATTCACTCCCCTCTTCACTATCATCATTGTCATCATCGTCATCATCATCATCATCTTCTTCATCTTCATCTCCCTCACTCTCATCATCGTCATCATCATCATCATCATCTTCACTGTCATCATCATCGTCATCATCATCATCTTCATCATCTACTTTAGCTTTTTTAACCTGTGGACCTTTAAAGAAATTTTATTGTATCTATATAAGTAATGATGATAAGGGGTGGGATTAAGATTTCATGTAAACAAACCTGTGTGACTCCTGTCTGATACTCATACATCTCAACAATTTTTCTATGGAAGTAACTTCATTAACAAATGATTAATACAATATTCCATATTAAGGATCCATAACTGAATGATAAATAAATGAAGAATGTGTTTATTGTGACAAAAGTTATAGTTGGTAATAGGATGGACAAATGAATGGGCTGGTATTTAACGTCCAGTGGCAAATATTACATGCATATCAGGACAAGAATATGTTAATGTGATATGAATATGAACCCTACTTTGTACTATAAAATTGGAAGATGTGATATGATTGCTAATGAGACACCTATTCACCAGAGACCAAATGATGCAGATGTACGCAACTGTAGGTCGCGTTTAAGTTCATGGTTAATAGTTTCAAGGAAGACATATCAACCTACACATTATTCTTACTCCGAGTAAACCAGTCTTTGCCTTTACCCCTAAAAGCTGCCTGGTTAGCTGAAAAGCAGCAAATACCAATTTTCAAATCTATTGTTTGACTCTGGACAGGGATCAAACTCATGACCTCCTTTCAAGTTATTACCATGTGATCACCAAGGCAGTATTTTTCTATAGGTATCTTTTTCATATCCTGAACTCTATTTTTCACACCTGACAATATTTCAAATTTTGAAATCATCTTTGTAAGTGAAGTTGCACGTCTGTTATTTCAATTGATATCACTGTCAAAACAGTCCTGCTTAATTTGACTAAGATGACTATTTAAATGATTCTTCTTGCGATTGTTTTCCTCTAAAACTAACCATACTCAAACAGGTTTGTCAATCATAATCAAAATAACTTAGTCAGTTCTTCAAAAGGAATTGTTTTATTAAAATATTTGTTTACTTAAGTTTCACAATTTTTTATAAATTTAAATTTTTTTTATATATTTTTTTTCCATTGGGTCCGTTTTAATTCAAAGTTCTTCTTCCTTTGCTAAATCTGAACTGATTGTGAATTTATGTCAAATAAAATCAACAAGTAACACAGTATTGAAGAGAAGCATAGAATTTGATTTTCAAATTTATAAACCATTCTTATTATTATGAAAGTAATGTGTTCTAAAGCAAGGCTGTTGTCTGCTCTATGGTCGGGTTGTTGTCTCTTTGACACATTCCCCATTTCCATTCTCAATTTTATTTGATATTACTAAATCTAAACAGAATAAGTTTTCTTCAATCAAGGAATGAATAAAGTGATGATGTCATGTCCCTGCAGGCGTATCTTAAGATGAGTTAAAAAACGCAAAACTTGGTATTTCCTTGTCTAAATCCTTGTATGGAGATAATAGCAGCATGCCTTATTTATGATAGGTGTCCCTTGCTGCATATTAAAAATGAATGGTGAAGGTAACTGGTCTTCAACCAGTATGCATAAACCGGGAAATGCAAGAAATTTAATTGTCTTAAATTCTGCAAAATCTTATACATTTTTGTCAAGTTATCTGATTTTGGAAAGGATCTAATATAACTCATCAATTACAAAATGTAGAAAGTCCATAGGAAATTTTCATATGATTAAATAAATGCAATTTCAAATGAAATCAGTTTATTTTCTTTTCACAATGGTCTTTTGACCATCCCCCCTACCCTTTTTTTAAAATAAACTGTTGACATAGAAATATGTCTTGCTTGTCTGCAGAAAATTCGAAAAAACCAATCTGATGGACAGCAACATTGCAACAATTCAAAGGCATTAGACCATGACCTAAGGGGCAGGGCCTCGAAATAGTCATCACCCTGATATGTACTTATAGTAATGCAACTTTATAAAATATCATTAATCTATCACAAGTAGTTCCTATCAATCTAACTTATCAAGCAGAAAACTTAACATTGAAAATTGCTTATTAATTGAAAGTCGCTGGACCTTGACCTAGGGGGCAGGGCCCCAAAATAGCTGTCTTACTGATATGTACTGATAGTAATGCAACTTTATATAAAACATCATTGATCTATCACAAGTAGACCCTATCAAACTAACTTACACAGAAAACTTCACATTGAAAATTTCTTTAGGTAGTACAATACAAAAACATCAAAATTTTATCAAAATTTCATTTTCAGCTGTTTTTGTTACTTCTTAATATTACAAAACCACAGAAGAAAAATATATTTTCCTATCTAACACTGTTAATGAGTTTTGATGATAATAAGTTTTGTAAACAAATGCACGTGTCTGACTGATACAAGATAACAACATGTGGGCAGTGCTTTGTGGAAATCAATAGAATCATTTAATAGCTTTATGACCACTGACCAGCTATATGAATAACAGTTATGGAAAAAAAGGTAGATAAGGGGTGCATAGAAAAAAGAAGAGAATAAAATTCCAAATAAATTCATATATATATTAGAGCTGCCAGGCTAAATAATTTAAAAGCAGTGTAAGGGAGATAATACAAACATAACATTGTACTTTTATTTAATTGTCCATTAACCAGGACACCCTTGTTTTTTCTCACTTTTTTGCCCCTAATTCCTAAACAGTTTGAGCCATAACCCCCAAAGCCAATCCTAACCATCCCTTTGTGGTATGGAAACTTGTGGTATAATTTCAGAGAGATCCATACACCGTTCCACAAGTTATAATCTGGAAACTAGAAAATGCTTATTTGGGCCCCTTTTTGGCCCCTAATTCCTAAACTGTTAGGACTATAACCCCCAAAATCAATCCCAACCTTCCTTTTGTGGTTATAAACCTTGTGTTTAAATTTCAAAGATTTCTGTTTACATTTACTAAAGTTATTGTCCGGAAATCAAATGTCTTTGGGGTACAACTCTAGAACGGTAAAAGTGACGCCACCAAAATTCACACTTGATCTGTGTTTTGTGGTAATCAGCATTGTGCATAAGTTTCATAACGTTTGGTTGAGGCAAACTTAAGTTAGAGAACGGAAACGAAAAATTCAGGATTTTTTCCATTTGTAAAGGGGCATAACTCTAGAACGGTAAAAGTGACGCCACCCAAATTCAAATATGATCTGTATTTTTTGGTAATAGGCATTGTGTATAAGTTTCATAGTATTTGGTTGAGGCAAACTAAAGTAAGAGAACAGAAACCAATTTTGGGACGTACGGATGGACGTACAGACAGACAAGGGTAAAACTTAATGCCCCTTCCGCTACAGCGGGGGCATAAAAAAAATATTTGGTGCTTATAGAGGGAACTAAAATATAAATATACAAGTATTAAACAAATATTATTATTGTGCAACAGTTAATGCTGATTCTAATATCAAGATTAACTAGAGAAGAATGTTTAAATATAAATCAATTTTAAAAAATTTAAAACAAAACACAATCATTTTTTTTTCATACTACAAAAATAAAAAAAATCTACTTTGAAGATGTGCTAAACACCATATTTCATTGTATACAGTAATAATTCTAGAAATCTCCCATGAATCCTCTAGACTGACCAACTGATCATTATATGTACACATGCATAACTTTCTTTTTGGGAAAATGTTAAAAGTTGTTTTTTGTATTGAATGAATAAAATCCAAATAGAAAAAACAAATGCAATGTTTAAATAAACTTCTGAGATTATCAATAGTTGATGTGCATCCAGGTGGGCGGAGCGTTGACCATATCAGTAGCAAATGACTTAGATCAAGGTCAATTGTGATAAAATTTCCCTCTTCAGATCTGATTTTTGAAGCACAAGTTGTGCATTTTCTTTATATATCTAGAATTGCTGAGATGGAATGTTTTCTTACTGGTCAAAACATAACTGATTTATAATTAAAGGCCAATCCTGAAGTATCCCCATGATAATATGTGAATTATGTTGAAGTTAATGAGGTTCAATTAGGAAAATCCTTATTTATTCAATTGTGACACATACATTTCATCATGTAAATGTAGTTTAAATGAAATTAGCTCCTAGAAGGGTGCCCCTATACGACTGATTTTAGCACATGTTGTTCTTTGACCAGTTACCTTCAAAACGGTGTCTGAGATTTACAATAACATCAATAGAACACATTTTACAGCCAATTAAATTTAGTGATTTCTTATGAATAAAGGTTAGAAACTTGATTGAAGGTTTATGAAAGAATGAAATACAATAGGAAAAATCTGAGACACGGTTTTAATGGTCAAACTGTGTTGCACAAGAATCTTTCAAAAATTTTGGGATTCAATGAATAACAAGAGTAATAGTAAGTGCTTAAAAATACTTACTGTATTTTACCTGTTATCAATTAATAATTATAATAACAACACCTATTGTATTTTGTTTGTAGGCAAAGGTTGAATATATTTTTATCAAATGTTGAAGACATCAAAAAAATTATAACCATTTGAAAGATTAATCTTCCTTCTTTCCATTGGTTTCTCGTTTATCAATTTCAGAGCTATATCAGAGTAATTACATCAGTTTAAAGTTGTCTGATTAGGGGTGAAAAAATCTTTGTATTGTGCTACCTTAATTGAAAGTTGCTGGACCTTGAACTAAGGGGCAGGGCCTTGAAATAGAAGTCAAACTGATATGTACTGATAGAAATGCAACTTTATACAAATTATCTTTGATCTATCACAAGTAGTTCCTTTCAAAGTGACTTAAGTAGAAAAGAAGTATTCTCCTCTGCTGTCGCCGCTGGAAAAGCAAAACCTATGTCTTGCTTTCAGCCACTTTCATCGCCCTCAAGACAAAAAACCAAACCAAAATATGACTAACAAACAGTGTATTCCTATCCACCATTTAATATATCTCTTGGACATATCATATAACAACACATAACATAAAATCACCATTTTCTTTTATACGTAATTCATAATTCAATTAGTACCTTTGACATCTGTGTCAAGTTTCCTTTTCTTGGCTTCCAATGTAGGTTTATTTCTGGCAAAATAAGCACACACTTTATAGCCATCTAATTCTTGTCCTTGTATTTTTTCAAAAGCCGATTTAGCAGTATTCACAGAAGAATAATGAACAAAGGAGTAACTGTGAAGAAAAATATATACATGTAATATTAGGTATTGATAGATCCTGCTCAAAAAATTGTAAGTTTATTTCCTTAAATTATTTTATTCAATTTCTTCTAAAGTTTAAAAATAAACAGCCACAGTTTGCCATATTCAGGCTATTCATATTCTGATATTTGGCTCATTTCAGTCAAAAATTTCTGACTTGCAAAAATATGTAATTTGAGATCTTTAAGGAAATACTATTTTTGTCATAGTTTGTTTAATTTGCTATTGGCCTTAGAATTAAGTGAGATTTTTTTTTGCTTACCTAGGACATCTACAGTATGATGCTGATCAAGTAATGAAATTAAAAGAGTTTAAATTTTGGCTTTAAGATGTTTGCTTGGAGAAAATCTTACCCAAAGTGTTTACCATCCTTTCTCTTAGGAATGTCTATTCTTGTGGCTTTAGGGAAAAGTTTTCTCAGCTGAGGTTCTGTCGTACCAACTTTATACCCAGAGACATATAATCGTAATGGATCAAGGGTACCTAAAGTAGAATGATATAATCAACAAATGTTTTTTATTACATATGAAATTAGGTTGCTGAATTAATCATTCTTTTGACATGGTGAAACCTTGATCTGGCATAAGCTTCAGTATCAATTTGTTAACAATGAGTAATAAGGTTTACTGTCACTGTGTATCCAAATGTATTCAGCAAGTTTAACATACTGTTAAATTGGTTTGCATAAAAACAACCTTCCTTCTTTTGGGGTATGGAACTTTGTAGTACAATTTCATACAGATCCATTCACTTATATTCAAGTTATTGTCTGGAAACCAAATGTGTTTGGACAACAACAAAGACGTTGCAAACATAGCCATACTAACATATGAAATTTGCAGTCGTATAAAAATTGACTCTTCTTTGAAAACCTAATTGCTTCATTTAAGGGCATATAACATATAAAAGATGGTGTCAAACAATTGAAATTGTATTTTATAGTTTCTACACCTCATTTAAATATCTCATCAGTTTTCATATGGTTTAATTACTAACCACTAGTTCAGAATTCTATCCAATCTAAAAATCGGGAGTGAAGACATAGAACCATATTTGCTTGCTCAAAATTGAAAAAGTGCTACTGAATTGGATGGGGGTTCCAGACCATACTGTAGGAGAAATGGTGTTTAAAATTTTGGAAGGACAGATGAACAGACAAGCAGATAAACGTGCTTACAGACAAAAAAAAAAAGGAAATCCATAGGGCATCAAAATTTTCTTTACAGGGCCCTTATAATATATTGAACAACAACTGTCTTTAATAGAAACAATCTACACCCATAATAAGAGGCCAACATTACTTTAATACATATATCATATTTGCAATGGGTCATACCTTGATCTTTGTATAACGACTTATTATTCAAACTTTTACTGCCAACATAGTCCACAAATATTTCATTTCCATCAATTTTGATATCCTTTAATAGACTGAAGTTTTTCTCAGCTAACTTTTCACTGGCAAACTCAAGAAAACCATAACTAAAAGAAAAGAAAAATTGTCATTTAATTTTAAGATTTATCTACCAACATACTGTTCAACTGTTTATGATTTTAATTACCGTAATCAGGCTTGTATAGTTTGCACTGGTACATAGTCCGCACCCCCTTCTCACCACAAATTTTTGGTAAAAAAACTTTTTGTAACTGTTAGAAAAGGTCTAATGAAACTCCGGTAATTTCAAATCGTGTGTGGTTGTATGCGGTATTTTCTTGGAAAAACCTATTTTCCATCAACAAACAGAAGCTAAAACTGCTTGTAAATGATTCTAAAAGCCTTCACGATTGTTAAAATAAGTCTAAATCACACAAAAAACAATTAAGAAACTTGTTTATGTTTAAACTGGAAGTTTGAAAAGCAGGTGTAAAAGAAGAGAAAAAATGGTGAGAGTTGAAATCCGTACATACTAGATATCAATATAATACGACTTTGAAAGTAAAACAGTTCCATCCTGATGTACAATAGTGTTAAATATATCTATCACATTAATGTTTGAAGGGTTATAAGCTAATAAACAACATATTAGTCAGTATGAAACACCAAAACGGAACGTATAATAATTGATTACGTTTTGTAATTAACACATCGTAAGCTGGTTTACGGTTGTCTTTTTTACTTTTTTTGTACAGTTTCATTCAAGCAGATACCAGTTTATTTTATAAGCAATGATTGAAAAGAAACGAGAAATTTGTTATGAAGCGTTTAATTTTTGAATTTATCAATATTAATTTGATATTGAATAATAATAACTTATTAATATGGATTATTAGGTAAAATTATTAGTTTGAAAAATGAAAAGAGCGCCCTCTACAATATCAATAACAAACATGGCGGAACGAAAATAAACCACCTTGCGAAATTGATTTTTTTCTCTTATTTCTTGCTTATTGTACTCTATAGTCCCCACCCCTGCTGGCAGGTTCAATTTTGGAGAATAAAACCGCGGACTATACAAGCCTTTTAACAGTAGCAAATAAATTAAAATGAGATATTTTCTACCTTTAGAAAATGAACTTAAACCTTAAATTTTTTTTATGGTAAATTAATAATAGCTTAGAACAAGAATGTGTCCATAGTACATGGATGCCCCACTCGCACTATCATTTTCTATGTTCAGTGGACCGTGAAATTGGGGTCAAAACTCTAATTTGGCATTAAAATTAGAAAGATCATATCATAGGGAACATGTGTACTAAGTTTAAAGTTGATTGGACTTTAACTTCATCAAAAACTATCTTGACCAAAAACTTTAACCTGAAGCGGGACAGACGGATGGTTGGACGAACGAACGGACGCACAAACCAGAAAACATAATGCCCCTACTACTATCATAGGTGGGGCATAAAAACCTGAATGTGATAAATATAACACTTATTCCTTGTAAATTTCTATAAAGAATCAAAATATGACAATAATTTTTGAATTTTTAGTGCCTGCCAATTTGAATGTCTTAATGGATAACAGAAATAACATTGTAATGTGATGTTTGACAGTAAATGATCCAAGATACAATGTACCATCTTTTAATCACATGTTAATGTAGCATCACTGCTTGACCATAAATAATAAGTGTTTAATATTCAGGCTCAAAGTGATGCTGATAATAGTGATATCTATACATATCTACGACTTCAGTTAAACTTAAATTTTGACTGTAACTCTTTTTGGTCCAGGTGATCAAAGGTCCAGGTGAGCAAATGAAAGTGCTTGTGCACAATGAAATGTAATGGTTGCAATGAAAAAACCAGGCTTATAATTTTGTAAGCCAAACACACTATAGTTCTAGAAAAAACTTATCAGTGATGCTTGTTGCTATGTGTTTCTTTTTTCTACATTGGCTAGAGGTATAGGGGGAAGGTTGAGATCTCACAAAACATGTTTAACCTTGCCGCATTTTTTCCGCCTGTCCCAAGTCAGGAGCCTCTGGCCTTTGTTAGTCTTGTATGTTTTTTAATATTAGTTCATTTATATGTTTTGGAGTTTAGTGTGACGTCCATTTTCACTGAACTAGTACACAATTTTATTTAGGGGCCAGCTGAGGACAACCTCAGGGTGCGGGATTTTCTCGCTGCATTGAAGACCCATTGGTGGCCTTCGGCTGTTGTCTGCTCTTTGGTCGGGTTGTTGTCTCTCTGACATATTCCCCATATCCATTCTCAATTTTATTTAACTTAACAACTAATGTAATTTTATATAATATAGTTTATTTGACAGGTATGGTTATACACATACCATTGCATACTCATCATTTTGTGACTTAAATAATTACCTCAAAGCACTATGTTGTTTGAACTCTTAAGGAAAGAGATGAAGTTTGGATATATTACTATCAAGCCAGTTTATAAGAGTTTTGATGAATCTACAGTATGTAGAAATGGAGAGAGAGTAAACTGACAACTTAATAAAAAAAAACAGTAGGAATATACACTTATGTATGCCTTTCTACAAAAAAAATTGAGCTATTAAATTAGTATTGCTGAACAAGCTTCTGCGCCTAAGTAATAGTCGATAAGTTCTGTTGTTTTATAGCATTATCAAGTGGTCAAGTGGTAAGTAATCCTAAATGTGAACTATGACCACAAACCATTCACTAACACTTAATCACCAATGGTCAGGTAGAGCTTACAACTATTCTTTAAATATTCTTATATCCATTTATAATAACAGTTCAAATTGGGATCATAACTTTATCAAGTTCTGAAGCTGATGGTGTTTGTAGATTTTTTCAATCCTCAAATTTTGAACAAATTGTAAGTCTTCGTTTACAGTAACAATTTTGAACTTATTGTAAATCTTTGTTTATAGTAACATTTCTGGGGTGCGATATGTTCTTAAAAAGAAATCATAACTATAGCATAAATAACAGAAATAACATTGTAATGTGATGTTTGACAGTAAATGATCCAAGATACCATGTACCATCTTTTAATCACATGTTAATGTAGCATCACTGCTTGACCATAAATAATAAGTGTTTAATATTCAGGCTCAAAGTGATGCTGATGATGGTGATATGTACAGAATAGGATCAAACAAAATTCTTAGGTCGAATGATACTGTAAATTCAGAAATTATTGCATGCATTTATAATTGCAAGACTGAACAAAAATGACAGATAAACAAGAAATGATTGTAACAGGATGCTGTTACGAAGTCTCCCAAACGAAGCTCCCATAATTCGTAATTCCCAGGGTCGCCTGACATTGGGCAACTTCCAGTGAAAATTGGTTTGGTCCAGTAAAGTTATATGCATTAGTGATGCCTGGGGACTAACCTTGTATATCATTTAAATCATCTTGGCATGACAAACCAGAATACATATGGTTCAGGGGTGGGGATCTCAACCATTTACAAGATACTAGAACATTGGGGGTGGGGAAGAACCCCTGGGGACTGGCCCTATACGTCATTCAAATGTTCATTACATGACGAACAGGAATATATATGGTTTAGGGGTGGGGATCTCAACCATTTACAAGATATCAGAACATTGGGGGTGGGGGGAACCCCTGGGGACTGACCGTATACATCATTCAAATGTTCGACACATGACAAATAGGAATATATATGGTTTAGGGGTGGGGATCTCAACCATTTACAAGATATTAGAACTTTCTCAAATGGCAGGGGGTGGGGGTGACCCCTGGGGACTAACCCTGTGTTTCATTTGATGTGCTTTATCATGACAAACCAGAATATATATGGTTTAGGGGTGGGGATCTCGACCATTAACAAGATATTAGAACTTTCTCAAATGGCATGGGGGTCGGGATGACCCCTGGGGACTAACCCTGTATATCATTCAAACCATCTTAGCATGACAAACCAGAATATATATGGTTTAGGGGTGGGGATCTTGACCACTTACAAGGTATTAGAACTTTCTTAAATGGCAGGGGGTGGGGGTGACCCCTGGGGACTAACCCTGTATTTCATTTGATGTGCTTTATCATGACAAACCAGAATATATATGGTTTAGGGGTGGGGATCTCGACCATTTACAAGATATTAGAACTTTCTCAAATGGCAGGGGGTCGGGATGACCCCTGGGGACTAACCCTGTATATCATTCAAACCATCTTAGAATGACAAACCAGAATATATATGGTTTAGGGGTGGGGATCTTTACCACTTACAAGATATTAGAACTTTCTTAAATGGCAGGGGGTGGGGGTGACCCCTGGGGACTAACCCTGTATTTCATTTCATGTGCTTTATCATGACAAACCAGAATATATATGGTTTAGGGGTGGGGATCTCGACCATTTACAAGATATTAGAACTTTCTCAAATGGCAGGGGGTCGGGATGACCCCTGGGGACTAACCCTGTATATCAATCAAACCATCTTAGCATGACAAACCAGAATATATATGGTTCAGGGGTGGGGATCTTGACCATTTACAAGGTATTAGAACTTTCTTAAATGGCAGGGGGTGGGGGTGACCCCTGGGGACTAACCCTGTATTTCATTTAATGGACTTCATCATTTAGAACATTTTCAATTAAAAAGATTGTTTCTATCACAAACGGTTTTCAATTTATAATCATTTGAAAATTTAAAAAAATAAAATCCCATAGGGTTCTATAGTAAAACCCTCTTTTCTTTTTGCCCCTCAAAGTACCCCTTTATAAACCCCATTGCACAAACAAAACCCTGATTGCACCACTAGACATGTTAGTCTTACATATTGTGAAACCCTAAGTTAATCTGACAAGCGGTTTTGGAGAACGGGTGCGGACAAGTTCAAATTTAAAAGCGGCGGAAGAAGAAGAAGAAGAAGAAGAAGAAAAAGAAGAAGAAGAAGAAGAAAAAGAAGAAGAAGAAGAAGAAGAATAATAATAATAATAAGAACTGAGCAATAAAATGCTCCGCTGGGGCGCAGCTTGATACGACCGCAGAGGTCGAACCCTGAACAGTTGGGGCAAGTATGGACACAACATACAAGCTTGATACAGCACTGAATTTGGATTGTAATTAAATATTTGACACAGCATAGGTTTCTGACACAGAATGAAAGTGGTCTAAGAACTTAAAAATTTTCAATTTACCTATTCATACATGTGATGGACTGTGAAACTCAGATCAGGAGATTTGGAAATTTTGGTCAGGAGATTAGGACTCAGATCAGGAGGTTTTTAATCGACATTAATTTTGTTGTAAATGTAACCGTGTGCTGTAAAAATGGTCTTTTAAAGTGTGTTTTCTTCAACTTTCCATCCAATTTATTATGTTTATAGTACCCTTGTACTTATAAAGTTTCTCCATCTTTATATTCTACATGTTCAATCTAACATTGTTTTTTTCCAGTATGTTCTTTAAATTTTTTACTTCATATTCTATATAAAATGCTCCGCAGGGCGCAGCTTGATACGACCGCAGAGGTCGAACCCTGAACAGTTGGGCCAAGTATGGACACAACATTCAAGCTTGATACAGCTTTGCATTTGGATTGTGATTAAATATTTGACACAGCATAGGTTTCTGACACAGAATGAATGTGGTCTAAGAACTTAAAAATTTTAAATTGGACATTCACCTATTATGGTCCAATATCCAAAATCTAAATACATGGTTAGATTCAGCATATCAAAGAACCCAAAGAATTCAATTTTTGATGAAATCAAACAAAGTTTAATTTTGGACCCTTTTGACCTCAATGTGGACAAAGTTGATAACGGGGCCCAAAAATCAAAAATCTAAATACATGGTTAGATTCAGCATATCAAACAACCCCATATATTCAATTTTTGTTGAAATCAAACAAAGTTTAATTTTGGACCCCGATTTGGACCAACTTGAAAACTGGGCCCATAATCAAAAATCTAAATACATGTTTAGATTCAGCATATCAAAGAACCCTAAGAATTCAATTTTTGTTAAAATCAAACTAAGTTTAATTTTGGACCCTTTGGACCTTAATGTAGACCAATATGAAAATGGAACCAAAAATTAAGAATCTAAATACACGGTTAGATTCGGCATATCAAAGAACCCCAATAATTCAATTTTTGATGAAATCAAACAAAGTTTAATTTTGGACCCTTTGGACCTCAATGTGGACCAATTTAAAAACGGGGCCCAAAATCCAAAAACTAAATACACGGTTAGATTCAGCATATTATAGAACCCCAAGAATTCAAGAATAAAACCCCATTGAAATTGGTCAAGAAATAAGCAATTATACGAAGTTCTTTTGCACAATACTGTGCAATTAAATATTTCTTGCTATTGCGCAATACTGTACAATTGACAATTTCTTGCTATTGCGCAATATTGTGCTTTGAATATTTCTTGCTATTGCGCAATACTGTGCAATTGAAAATTTCTTGCTATTGCGCAATACTGTGCAATTGAAGATTTCTTGCTATTGTGCAATACTGTGCAATTGAAAATTTCTTGCTATTGCACAATACTTACTATATAATAATTTACACATCCTGTTTGGTGTGTATCTCCTACCATATTATTATTATTTGCTTTTAAATATAAATCAGAAATAACCAACTTTAAAGGAAAATTTTAAAAGAAAAAAAAAGGAAAAAAAGAAAAAAAAGGAAACCCCCCCCCCCCCCCAAATTTTTTTAACCCCCTTATGATTCATCACCCCCAAACTCAATCCCAGCCTTTCCTTTGTGGTATGGTACCTTGCAGTACAATTTCAGAGAGATCCATACACTTGAACACAAGTTATTGTCTGGAATTTAGAAAAATGTGTTTTTTGGGCCCTTTTTGGCCCCAAATTCCTAAACATTTAGGGCAATTACCCCCAAACTCAAACCCAGCTTTCCCTTTGTGATATGGAACCTTGCAGTACAATTTCAGAAAGATCCATACACTTACACACAAGTTATTGTCCTGAAACTAGAAAAATGCTTATTTTTGGCCCCTTTTTGGCCCCCAATTCCTAAACGTTTCGGCAATTACCCCCAAACTCAATTCCAGCCTTCCTTTTGTGATATGGAACCTTGTAGTACAATTTCAGAAAGATCCATAAACTTACACACAAGTTATTGTCATGAAACTAGAAAAATGCTTGTTTTTTTCCCCTTTTTTGGCCCCTAATTCCTAAAATGTTGAGGCAATTACCCCCAAAATCAATCCCAGCATTCCTTTTGTGATATGGAACCTTGTGGTACAATGTCAGAGAGATCCATACACTAACACACAAGTTATGTCTGGAAGTTACAAAAATGCTTATTTTTGGCCCCTTTTTGGCCCCTAATTCCTTTACTGTTAGTACCATAACCCCCAAAATCAATCCCAACCTTCCTTTTGTGGTATTGAACCTTGTGGTAAAATTTCATAGAGATCCATTCACTTAAACTAAAGTTAGAGTGCGAAAACCAATGTGTCTTCGGACGACGCCGGACGACGCCAGACGACGACGACGACGACGCCGGACGACGACGACGCCAACGTCATACCAATATACGACCACAAAAATTTTTTTGCGGTCGTATAAAAACAATCATTGCAACCAGAACATTTGTTTAGCTATCTGCAAATATGTTTTTTTTTTGTTTTTTTTCTCTTGCAAATAGTTTTTATTTGCAAACTCAGAAAATCATTCTATCTGTAAAATTAGGGTCATAGTTATTATATAAATTTCAATTTAAGCCTTGAAAGGAAGTATAGAATCCTCAAATAATTTTCAAATTATTATTTTTTTATTTGTCCTAAGACATTTAAAATCATTTAATAACCATCCTTTTATGATTATTTGTTCAATTTATATTTTATTTATATTCTTTTAAAAATTTTCATTATTAAAAGGAAAGTAACTTAAAACAGGATAAATCAAGGGAAGTAACCCAATAAATACACAGTTTTTGTTACACAACGGCAGTTAGCCTGAGGTAAAAATCGTTGATTACCAGTATGTTTGACACCCAAGCTGACAATTGAAGTCATATAATTATGCATGTTAATTGATTTACAGGTAAAATATAACTTCAGGTAATGTCAGTTACACCAGATGCCTGAGATGATATGTTGGGCAGAAATTTTTCATTCATGAAAAATTTCATACACGGGATTTTTTCCTCTTCAACGGGAGGTCGGGAGGAGACCCCTGAAAACGGAATTATTGTACTCCCGTCGGGAGGTTCACATGTATGCCTATTCAAACCATATAATTATTATTTGCTTTTATATATAAATCAGAAATAACCAATTTAAAATGGAAAATGTTAAAGAAAAAAAATGAAAAAAAAAATCCCCCCCAATTTTTTGAACCCCCTTATGATTCATCACCCCCAAACTCAATCCCAGCTTTCCCTTTGTGGTATGGTACCTTGCAGTACAATTTCAGAGAGATTCATACACTTGAACACAAGTTATTGTCTGGAAACTAGAAAAATGCTTGTTTTTTGGCCCCTTTTTGGCCCCAAATTCCTAAACGTTTAGGGCAATTACCCCCAAACTCAATTCCAGCTTTCCCTTTGTGATATGGAACCTTGCAGTACAATTTCATAAAGATCCATACACTTACACACAAGTTATTGTCCTGAAACTAGAAAAATGCATGTTTTTTTTGCCCTTTTATGGCCCCTAATTACTAAAATTTTGAGGGAAAACCCCCAAAATCAATCCCAGCCTTCCCTTTGTGATATGGAACCTTGTAGTACAATTTCATAAAGATCCATACACTTACAAACAAGTTATTGTCATGAAACTAGAAAAATGCTTGTTTTTTGCCCCATTTTGGCCCCTAATTCCTAAAATTTGGAGGAAATTACCCCAAAAATCAATCCCAGTATTCCCTTTGTGATATGGAACCTTGTAGTACAATTTCATAAAGATCCATACAATTACAAACAAGTTATTGTCATGAAACTAGAAAAATGCTTGTTTTTTGCCCCTTTTTGGCCCCTAATTCCTAAAATTTGGAGGCAATTACCCCCAAAATCAATCCCAGCATTCCCTTTGTGATATGGAACCTTGTGGTACAATGTCAGAGAGATCCATACACTTACACACAAGTTATGTCTGGAAGTTACAAAAATGCTTATTTTTGGCCCCTTTTGGCCCCTAATTCCTTAACTGTTAGTACCATAACCCCCAAAATCAATCCCCACCTTCCTTTTGTAGTATTGAACCTTATGGTAAAATTTCATTGAGATCCATTCACTTAAACTAAAGTTAGAGTGCGAAAACTATTGTGTATTCGGACGACGACGCCGGACGACGACGACGACGACGACGCCAACGTCATACCAATATACGACCACAAAAATTTTTTTGCGGTCGTATAAAAACAATAAGTCTTCCCAAACTTCGTTTGGGAGACTTAATTATTGCAATTTCAGTAAAAACTTTATACTGATATTTGTATGAGATGTCAGAATGCAAATTTTTATTATTGTGATACTCACTCAGTCACATTATTGACATTAATAAAAACCTTGCAATCATTTCAGAATTTACAGTAAGGTCTTTTACAAGATAAATTTACCAAAAGGTTTGTCTATTAGCTCGAAAACTCCGTCTAATTCTAACACTCTGGATGTCTTTCGACAGTTTCTTTAAATCTTCTTCATTTGGAAAAGACTTAAATCTTCCAACATACAGAGTTCTCTTGTCCATTTCGGCTGAAAAAAGAAAACAGACAGTTGACCAACCAAAATACTAGGTCTTGCAGGATCTTATTGGTTGTTTATTTTTTTTTGCAATCGAAAATCATACACTAACACATGGTTCAGTGATTTACTCTTTGGATATTTCTTTCTATTCACTATACAGAATTAATCTAATGACACCTTACCAACTACCTTGACCAAAAACTATAAACATGAAACAAGACACACAGAATATTGAACATATGTACAGATAGACCAGAAAACACACCACCCTTAATATTGTTATTGTTTCCTAAAGGAGGAAACATTAAGTCTTGTGGTCTTGTTTTTAAAACTGACTTTTCAAGAATTCCAAAGTTAAGATTTTATTCAGATTTGTAAACAAGGAAAAATTATAAACACCTGTAAGACAACATTGTCAGAATATTCCATTATTTGACATGTTTGAGGAATATTGAAATTATTTAAATCAATATAATCACAAAAAAAAAACCTACCCCGTCTTTCAGCATTCTGGTTGCTATAAACTTCTGTCCCTGAAAAGAATTAAAATGAGAAAATTTCACCATATCACGAAATATTATGTTTATTTAAAGATGATTTTTTTATATAATGGATAGTTCACTCCTTGAGAGACTTTTGAACAAAAATATTTCATCTTTTCAAGCATATTAATTCTGAAAACTGATCCCTGTAACAAACATCTTTTATTCCAAGTGACAACCCTTCATACATATTTATGGGAAAGCGCTCTTTCACAAGTAGAAGCTGCTGTTTTTTCTTAACTTCTATATTTTGTTTTTCTTCTTTTTTGTTGTTGTGGTTGTACTTTTTGGTAAGTGTGCCTATTTTATATCTCCGTCCAGTTCTTAATTATTGTTTTCAACTTTGTTAATTTGTTTTAAGTGTTTCATGAACAGTGGACATACATGTAGCTACTTGCTTTCATTCCCAAAATGACCTAAGGTCAAAAGTTACAAAAATTCCAAGAACAGCCCAATAACTAATATGTAATTAGAAGTAACCTCAGCTGATGAGTTGTGAGAAGGCTTTATTCATCAAACTTACCTTTAATATTTGATATCTCATTCTCTTTACTTGGTTCCTTTTTACTTGATTCTGTTAGAGATTTATTTTTGTTTCCACTTGATGCTGTTTCACTTTTAGAAATTGTCACTTTATTTTGTGATTGCACTTTCTTTCCCATTGTTTGTTTTTTACTTTCATTAGAGTTTTTTTTTTCAATTTTTGAATCAGTATCAGAGTCTACTTTTTGTTTTAACTTTGTCAATTTTGTATCTGTGCTCTTTCCAGATTTTACATTTGCCATAGCTTTTTCCAATAACAGTTTTTCTAATTCTGCTTCATCAAAACTTTCTTCATCATCATCATCATCATCATCATCCTCATCATCTTCATCTTCATCATCATCATCATCTTCATCAAAATCCTCATCATCTTCATCATCATCATCATCATCATCTTCCCCATCCTTCATTTTACTTTGTAATTGTTGTTTGAACTTTTCCAGTAAAGATTGTTTAGTGCCATCACTTTCATTATCTTCACTGTCATCATCGTCCTCGTCATCATCGTCCTCATCTATATCTATATCACTATCATCATCATCATCAAATTCAAAATCCTCCATTTCATCATCATCATCATCGTCCTCATTATCATCCTCCAACTCCTCTTTCTTTTTAGCTTTCCCAGCTGGTGTTTTCTGAGCTGGAGTTTGTGACTTGGGTGTTTTCCCACCTAAAAATTCAAACATAATTAAATTTTCACAGGGCTGTTCAAATATTGAGAAGCTCACATTTTTATATAATTTGACCATTTTTTAATTTAAAATACAGTTCATATTCTGGGCCAGAGAAATCTGAACTTATAAGATAGGTGACCTTTGGATTACAGTTCAAAATGTTTAGGTATAATTAGAAGAAGACTTGACAAGAGTTATAAGACAGATTTTTGCTGAATTGAGGTGACCTTTATAGCAAGTTCTAATGAACAAAGCATTGATGTGATAAGTAGATATCTAATTCCATCTTACAGACAACAAGGTAGTATAAGAGCCATCTTGGACAAAAAATTGTATATATATGTATAAAACTGAAAATTTCATTGTCGTAAAACTCCTTTCACACTTATAATGATATTTGATGTCTAATAAACACTGTAATAGTTGTTTATGCTCATTGCCTTTTTTAGACCTAAATTTCACACTTACAGCTTTAAAAAAAGGCTGAAACATATACAGTATCCAGTATATAGCGAAAGATTGTAAAGAAAGTGGGATAAAAGGTTGATAATAGAATCACAGCTTTTACTACAAATGGGAATTCAACAGATGGTGTCAGAAATTTTCTATGACCTCAATGGGCATCATCTCTAGTGGTGAAAAAACCTGAATATTTTATTACTAGAACTCCTCTCACTATCTTATCAATGAGGATTTGGAAAAATAAATTCATTATCACATATTCAAGTCTTATATCAATACTATCCACAGGACATTGGTGAGGGGATATGGATCATAGTTGCCATTTTTCATTTAAATCCACAGGACACCATGCCCCACCCACATTATCATGTTCCTTGTAAATAGTTAACATCATAATGAACATTTGTCAAGTTCATATCATGATGAAAGTGTGTACTAAGTTTCAAGTTGATCCCACTACAACTTCATCATAAACTACCTTTACCAAAAAGTTAACCTGATACGCGACAGACAAATAAACGGAGAGACAGAATGACAGACGTATAAAGCACAGACCAGAAAACATAATGTTCCTGATTGTAAGTTGAACTTTAATTTTGAAGTTCTTAAAATTTTGAAGTTCGTAATAATTGTTTACCTTTTGGTGTTGTTGCTGACAATTTTTTGTCTTGTTTTTGTGGAGTCTTCCCAGCTGTAGGTGAGGACTGCTCTTTAAGTTTAAGATCTTTTGGTGTTTTGCCAGCTGGAGGTGTACCCTTTACTCCAACTTGTTGGGTTTTGGGAGTTTTACCAGCAGTCGGTGTACCCTTTACTACAACCTGTTGAGTTTTAGGTGTTTTCCCTGCAGATGGGGTTTTCAATGCTGTACTTGGCTGACCTTTTGGTGTTTTCCCAACCACTGGGGTTCCTTGACCTTTTGGAGTTTTCCCAACAACTGGTGTTCCTTGGCCTTTAGGAGTTTTCCCTACAACTGGGGTTCCTTGGCCTTTTGGAGTTTTTCCAGCTGCAGCTTTCTTGTTTTCTTGTTGGCCTTTGGGTGTTTTAGCTGTGACAGGTGTTTCTTTACGTTTCTTTCCAGAATCTGGTTGAACTTTTGGAGTTTTCTGTGCTGCAGGTGTATTTCCTCTCTGTGGTATTTTGTGTTTAAATTCAATTTCTAAAATACAAAAATATAATTCTACAATGTATATCCTCTAAACTGGGCAGCATTAGATGCCTTGAGCCAAAAATTATGCAATTGTGTTTAAAACTGCTGTCATATACAGGGGGTTATAAAAGGACAAAATTATAAGCTTTGGGTAGTTTCTATTATATATGAAAGCAAAGAGATTCTACAAATAGATATCTTTATAAAATTATTTCTAGATGTTTTTTTACACCAAACACAAATTCCAGAAATGTGTCCGACATTGAAATCTGTATGTGTTGTTTATATTACAACTACTAAATTATCTGTTGTTTATATTACTACTACTAAGTTATCTCCTTTGTTGATGGATTGTCAGTCCTGGAGAGTACCATCCACATGGTAGGTAGTTTATCATTACAGGCATGCTTAAATTTTAACCTTTCATTTATGTAAATTTTCAGTTTAAAATTGAGTATTTTGTACTAGTTTGAAACAAAGATACCCAGATTGTTTGCTATATTTGTTTTATTTACTGTTCAGTCCTATCTGGTTTTGGTGATAACAAAACTATTCTGTGTTTAACTTCTACAACTTTCGGGTTTCCAGGATACCCAAAGAAAATTATAGGCGGAACAAATGTTGTAAGCATTGGAAAGGTATCATTTGTTGATATTAAAACTAATTCACACCAATAGATCATTTTCATATTACGGACTTTTGACTCCTAAATTTATAATTTTTCAACAGGTTACCTACACTGTGGTAGGAAATTCTTGTACTCTGTCAAGTAAGAGCAACTTAAAGAAGTAAAATCAAGCTTACAATCGGTGCCATTGGGAAAAATATGAACTGATTAATGTTTTCTTTACACAATAACAAAATCATCAGAAAACAGTTAATATTTTCCCCAAATTGCACCGATTGTAAGCTTGATTTTGCTTTTTTTAAGTTTCTCTTACTTGACCGAGTACCAGAATGTCCACAGACTGCACAGAGTAGGTAACCTGTTGTAAAATTATATACAAAAGAATGTCTTACCACAGATTTCACAGAGTAGGTAACCTGTTGTAAAATTATATACACCAGAGACAAAAGTCAATAATATAATAAAATGCTTCGCTGGGGCGCTGCTTGATACGACCGCAGAGGTCGAACCCTGAACAGTTGGGGCAAGTATGGACACAACATTCAAGCTTGATACAGCTCTGAATTTGGATTGTTATTAAATATTTGACACAGCATAGGTTTCTGACACAGAAAGAATGTGGTCTAAGAACTTGAATTTTTTTAATTTACCTATTATGGTCCAATGTCCAAAATCAAAATACATGGTTAGATTCAGCATATCAAAGAACCCCATATATTCAATTTTTGTTAAAATCAAACAAAGTTTAATTTTGGACCCCAACTTGGACAAACTTGAAAACTGGGCCCATAATCAAAAATCTAAACACATGTTTAGATTCAGCATATCAAAGAACCCCAAGAATTCAATTTTTGCTAAAATCAAACTAAGTTTAATTTTGGACCCTTTGGACCTTAATGTAGACCAATTTAAAAAACGGGACTTAAAATTAAAAATCTAAATAGACGGTTAGATTTGGAATATCAAAGAGCCCCAAGAATTCAATTTTTGTTAAAATCAAACTAAGTTTAATTTTGGACCCTTTGGACCTCAATGAAGACCAATTTAAAAAACGAGACCCAAATTAAAAATCTAAAAACACGGTTAGATTTGGCATATCAAAGAACCCCAATAATTCAATTTTTGATGAAATCAAACAAAGTTTAATTTTGGACCCTTTTGACCTCAATATGAACCAATTTGATAGCGGGGCCTACAAATAAAAAATCTAAATACATGGTTAGATTCAGCATATCAAAGAACCTCATATATTCAATTTTTGTTGAAATCAAACAAAGTTTAATTTTGGACCCCAATTTGGACAAACTTGAAAACTGGGCCCATAATCAAAAATCTAAATACATGTTTAGATTCAGCATATCAAAGAACCCCATATATTCAATTTTTGTTGAAATCTAACAAAGTTTAAATACTGGACCCTATCTTGGACCAACTTGATAACTGGGCCCATAATCAAAAATCTAAACACATGTTTAGATTCAGCATACTAAAGAACCCCAAGAATTCAATTTTTGTTAAAATCAAACTAAGTTTAATTTTGGACCCTTTGGACCTTAATGTAGACCAATTTAAAAAACAGGACCCAAAATTAAAAATCTAAATACACGGTTAGATTTGGAATATCAAAGAACCCCAATAATTCAATTTTAGATGAAATCAAACGAAGTTTAATTTTGGAACCTTTTGACCTCAATATGAACCAATTTGATAACGGGGTCCACAAATAAAAAATCTAAATACATGGTTAGATTCAGCATATCAAAGAACCCCATATATTCAATTTTTGTTGAAATCAAACAAAGTTTAATTTTGGACCCCAATTTGGACCAACTTGAAAACTGGGCCAAAAATCAAAAATCTAAATACATGTTTAGATTCAGCATATCAAATAATCTCATATATTCAATTTTTGCTAAAATCAAACAAAGTTTAATTTTGGACCCTTTGGACCTTAATGTAGACCAATTTGAAAACTGGACCCAAAATTAAAAATCTGAATACACTGTTAGATTCGGCATAACAAATAAATAAATGTGATCAAAGATTTTACAAATCTAATGCGCCATACGTATACTGTGCAATTAAAGATTACTTCTTGAAATTTTTCAATATTTGAAATTTGAAAAAAAAATAATATTTGAAGAATAATTCTTTTTAATTTCTGAAATCTGAAATGAGAAAAAATTGACCCCCCACAATTTCTTTTTATCCCCCCCCCTTTTTTCCCCAAAAAAATTCTTTCCCTCAAGATATGGTCATAATCTCAATTCAAATTTCCAATGGAGTTGGCAACCATAATTACCCATTTAAATTTACCATAGTGCTAACTTAATCTATTTTATAATAGAATTAAAAATATAGTGTCAAATCTTTCATATGGATTTTTTTGCAGATATTTTTACTGGTCTTCCTTTATAAATATGCATTTCTTTAAACATAATTTAAAAGCAGTGTAAGGGAAGTAACCAAAACGTTGTATTTGGATTACCTCCCTTACACTGTTTTAAATTATCTTTATTGTTCATTAACCATTACTTTATACATAATTTAAAAGCAGTGTAAGGGAGATAATTTCAATGATGTATTTGATTTATCTCCCTTACACTGCTTTAAATTATGTTTTGTACTAAAGTATTTGTCCATTAACCAGGACAACCTTGTTTTTCCCCCTTTTTTGCCCCTAATTCCTAAAAGGTTTGAGCCATAACCCCCCAAAGCAAATCCTAACCATCCCTTTGTGGTATGGAAACTTGTAGTATAATTTCAGAGAGATCCATACACCGTTCCACAGTTATTGTCTGGAAACTAGAAAATGCTTATTTTTGGCCCCTAATTCCTTAACTGTTGGTACAATAACCCCCAAAATCAATCCCAACCTTCCTTTTGTGGTATTTAACCTTATGGTCAAATTTCAAAAAGATCCATTCACTTAAACTAAAGTTAGAGTGCGAAAACCAATGTGTCTTCGGACGACGACGCCGCCAACGTCATACCAATATACGACCACAAAATTTTTTTGTGGTCGTATAAAAATAGGATAATTAGGACTGCATTCTGAAATTATTTTTTTTATTTGCTTACATATTGTTTGTTTCCCGAAACAACAAAAAACACTTCTAAATTAAAATTGTGTGGCCTAACTTACCTGCATCTTCATTACTTTCATGTTTTCCATTTTGAAACAAATCGGTAGGTTTCAACAAATCCTACAAATAAATTTTCCATATTACAGCATTTCATCTGTACAATATGCTCAAGAAAAATTTTGAACTAGAGAATCAGTACTGTAGTATTCTGGAGTGTATTTAAAAATTTTCTCCTGAGAAAGTAGACTTCTATCTAAAGTATATTGCTTTCTTCTTTCTATTTGTCATTGGCTTTTCAGTAAGGGGATGGTTAATCCTACAATTTATAGGTATAGCATATTTTTATAAATTGTTGCCCAAATTCATTCTATCAATAGCAATGCAATCTCAACCTTTGAACTATTGACCCCAAAATCAGAAGAGGTTTTCTTCTTTCCATGATGCATTATCAAGCCAAGTTTGTCAAAACAATTATTCCTTATGGCCAGAAAGATTCTTTTTTGGAAACTGAAATGTTGACATCCTAACACTAGGACAGCGACACGGCTTTCACCATGTTTATATACATTGTAAGCCGAGTTCAACTTTGTCTCAAATTGGTTGTTAACTCCGAAACCATTGCCATCATGTAAAGTAATTCTTGGCTATGATTTTCAGTTAAGAATTTATTCTACCTGTAATAATTCAACTCATGTTCAAAACTTTTTGCAGGACATTTTGTTTGACTTATTTGTTGGTCCAGCAGAGATTTTACCAGATTTTTGTTGGCCAATATTGATAGACCTTGGGGATGAGTAATAAAACAAAATTTGTTGACAGATATCTGTTGATCACCTGATCATCACCACTATCACTACCATCACTATCACCACCATCACTATCTTCATAGGCTGTCTTACCTGATCATCACCACTATCACTACCATCACTATCTTCATAGGCTGTCTTACCTGATCATCACCACTATCACTACCATCACTATCTTCATAGGATGTCTTACCTGATCATCACCACTATCACTACCATCACTATCTTCATAGGCTGTATTACCTGATCATCACCACTATCACTACCATTACTATCTTCATAGGCTGTCTTACCTGATCATCACCACCATCACTACCATCTCTATCTTCATAGGCTGTCTTACCTGATCATCACCACCATCACTACCATCTCTATCTTCATAGGCTGTCTTACCTGATCCTCACCACTATCACTACCATCACTATCTTCATAGGTTGTCTTACCTGATCCTCACCACTATCACTACCATCACTATCTTCATAGGCTGTCTTCTTCCTTGGAGGAGGAGCTGACTTAGGATAATCTTTAGTTTTCTGTCTTGTTCTCTGTGATATTGGAGGTGTCTATGAAAGAGAAATGTCAGAAAAATTAAGTCACGTTCTTAAAAATATTTTTTTTAGAGAAGAGAGAAGATTAGCATCTTCTTATTTTTATATTAGATACAGTGGTCTCGTTAGCCCAAAATAGAAGGGCGCTGCGCCCTTGGTGCACTCAACCGCGCCAATCTGCCCTGCCGCCTTGTTCCAAAACGCCCTTGTGCCGTTTTTGCAATGTACTATAAAATTGCCTTTTTGTGTCATCGATTTCCTATCAGAAAGTTAAATTACATTCATGCAGTGATTTTCCTACCTTTTTTCAAATGGGGCCTGGACCCTAGCCAATTGGGAATAAAATGCTCCGCAGGGCGCAGCTTGATACGACCGCAGAGGTCGAACCCTGAACAGTTGGGGCAAGTATGGACACAACATTCAAGCTTGATACAGCTTTGGATTTGGATTGTGATTAAATATTTGACACAGCATAGGTTTCTAACACAGATTGAATGTGGTCTAAGAACTTAAAAATTTTAAATTGGACATTCACCTATTATGGTCCAATATCCAAAATCTAAATACATGGTTAGATTCAGCATATCAAAGAACCCCAAGAATTCAATTTTTGATGAAATCAAACAAAGTTTAATTTTGGACCCTTTTGACCTCAATGTGGACAAAGTTGATAACGGGGCCCAAAAATCAAAAATCTAAATACATGGTTAGATTCAGCATATCAAAGAACCCCATATATTCAATTTTTGTTGAAATCAAACAAAGTTTAATTTTGGACCCCGATTTGGACCAACTTGAAAACTGGGCCCATAATCAAAAATCTAAATACATGTTTAGATTCAGCATATCAAAGAACCCTAAGAATTCAATTTTTGTTAAAATCAAACTAAGTTTAATTTTGGACCCTTTGGACCTTAATGTAGACCAATTTGAAAACGGAACCAAAAATTAAGAATCTAAATACACGGTTAGATTCAGCATATCAAAGAACCCCAATAATTCAATTTTTGATGAAATCAAACAAAGTTTAATTTTGGACCCTTTTGACCTCAATGTGGACAAAGTTGATAACGGGGCCCAAAAATCAAAAATCTAAATACATGGTTAGATTCAGCATATCAAAGAACCCCATATATTCAATTTTTGTTGAAATCAAACAAAGTTTAATTTTGGACCCCGATTTGGACCAACTTGAAAACTGGGCCCATAATCAAAAATCTAAATACATGTTTAGATTCAGCATATCAAAGAACCCTAAGAATTCATTTTTTGTTAAAATCAAACTAAGTTTAATTTTGGACCCTTTGGACCTTAATGTAGACCAATTTGAAAACGGAACCAAAATTTAAGAATCTAAATACACAGTTAGATTCGGCATATCAAAGAACCCCAATAATTCAATTTTTGATGAAATCAAACAAAGTTTAATTTTGGACCCTTTGGACCTCAATGTGGACCAATTTAAAAACGGGGCCCAAAATCCAAAAACTAAATACACGGTTAGATTCAGCATATTAAAGAACCCCATGAAATCAAGAATAAAACCCCATTGAAATTGGTCAAGAAATAAGCAATTTATAGGAAGTATCTTCTTTTGCACAATCCTGTGCTATTAAATATTTCTTGCTATTGCGCAATACTGTACAATTGACAATTTCTTGCTATTGCGCAATATTGTGCTATTGGATATTTCTTGCTATTGCGCAATACTGTGCAATTGAAGATTTCTTGCTATTGCGCAATACTGTGCAATTGAAGATTTCTTGCTATTGTGCAATACTGTGCAATTGAAAATTTCTTGCTATTGCACAATACTTATTATATAATAATTTACACATCCTGTTTGGTGTGTATCTCCTACCATATCATTATTATTTGATTTTAAATATAAATCAGAAATAACCAACTTAAAATGGAAAATTTTAAAAGAAACAAAAAAGGAAAAAAATTTAAAAAAAATAAATCCCCCCCCAAAATTTTTTGAACCCCCATTATGATTCATCACCCCCAAACTCAATCCCAGCCTTCCCTTTGTGGTATGGTACCTTGCAGTACAATTTCAGAGAGATCCATACACTTGAACACAAGTTATTGTCTGGAAACTAGAAAAAAATGTGTTTTTGGCCCCAAATTCCTAAACGTTTAGGGCAATTACCCCCAAACTCAAACCCAGCTTTCCCTTTATGATATGGAACCTTGTAGTACAATTTCAGAAAGATCCATACACTTACACACAAGTTATTGTCATGAAACTAGAAAAATGCTTGTTTTTTGCCCCTTTTTTTGCCCCTAATTCCTAAAATTTTGAGGCAATTACCCCCAAAATCAATCCCAGCATTCCTTTAGTGATATGGAACCTTGTGGTACAATGTCAGAGAGATCCATACACTAACACACAAGTTATGTCTGGAAGTTACAAAAATGCTTATTTTTGGCCCCTTTTTGGCCCCTAATTCCTTTACTGTTATTACCATAACCCCCAAAATCAATCCCAACCTTCCTTTTGTGGTATTGAACCTTGTGGTAAAATTTCATAAAGATCCATTCACTTAAACTAAAGTTAGAGTGCGAAAACCAATGTGTCTTCGGACGACGCAGGACGACGCCGGACGACGACGACAACGTCATACCAATATACGACCACAAAAATTTTTTTGCGGTCGTATAAAAATGTGTCATATATAACGTGTTATTTGGGAAAAAAAATAAAACATTGTTTTCATCATATCTTAATGAGGTTATCTATTAGGATTCCGATTTTCTGAACATATCAAATTTTTTTTCTTGATGCATGTTACCGGTAATACATATCCAGGGTTTGACTCTTACTAAATTCCTTTACTAGCCTAGAGGGCTATTTATTTTTTTTTTAAAGTCCTCCCTCAACTCTGCTAGCCCGTCAAGTTCTGCCATTGGCAGGACTCATGCTATGGGTGTCTGATGGCATGCCCCCCACCAGAAAATTTTAAAATAAATGAAGCTATATCATGTGATCTTGGACATTTCCAGATGTTTTTCATGATGAATTAACTGGTTTGCTAATAAAATGTAGAGACAAAACAATTTATTTTTAATCATCTCCATTAAGAGTCTGTATGCAGTGATCTGGAAACATTTAGTCTCTATGAGCCAAGGGCTCCCTCATATAAATTTGAATGGACAAGTTTTAACATGAATGGGCCATGAGAACATATGCATACATATATTAGTAAAAAGTATATACTAAAACGGGAAGGTACATGTACTATCCAATACTCTCCATGATGACAACAAAAAGAATCATCAAATGTGGATACACTACACAGACTAGTAGAACAATTCACATTTAAATTATTACAACTGATTTAACCACTTTTAATAATCATCAAAATTAGAAGGAGATAATTAAAGATTCGTTTCTATTCCTGTGAATTCCGAGTGTAAATGGACTGCTATATTTTCTATCATGTCTATGGTACATGAATTTAATTAATACCATTTCATGCACTTCCGTAGCTTGATTGACTGTTTAATTGATATTATCATCACAACTAACAGAAGAAAATAATGTACTGAACAGCGAAAAAAGCATTTTGCCGCAATTTATAAATAAATCAAAGACCAAAAAATTAACAAAGACAGTTAAGCGCATTTTATGGAGACAAAAACTAAATTTAGAATAAATTTATGCTCAATGTTTTTTTAATCGAAATTAATAGTAATCATACTTTCAATACTTTTATTGGAAGAAAAATAATTGACCGTAGTAGCAAACTTTCATAGAATTAAAATTGTTTCCTTTGAAAATTTAGATCATGGTTATTGACGTTTTTCCGGTTTTCAGATGAACCATGCAGAACTTTAAACTGTTTCCCGAAATATGATGATAATCTGTCTACGGACGTGTTTTTCTTCGGGAACAGTACAACAACCTATTTTTTGAACCAAATCATACTAACGATAAAATTATCAATTATCTTCCCGCTACAACTTGATTGAACTGGGAATTTTACATGTTCATTTGGGGAAAATTTAGGTTTTTTCTAATTGGGAACGGGGCCGATATTCATACCCAAATTAAAGGCAGGAAAATCACTGTCATGACACCTGATGATTGCCCCGAGGTTAATCATGTCATTATAATCAATTACAGTATAAGACTTCTAAGGTGATAATTACTAGGTAATTAAGACAATTAACCTTGTTGTCAACATCATAATTGAATTTAAATTTGATATGTCAGCGTGTGTTTTAGGCTTGGGTCGGCATTTTTGATCTCAGCACCAGAACTCAATGTCACAGCGGAAGAGTGTATAAATATTGACTTTTGAATAGATTTTAAATCATTAAAATACAACTATGCCTTCAAAGAAACATCGTCAGTCTCAACTTGTGAGCAACAAGCAGAAAGTCGTAAAGACAAACTCGTCTATCAGATCGTTCTTCAACAAAGACTCAACTCGGTACGTGCCATTTTTTTAACTATTAAAATATAATATTTTTACCACCGACGATCGTCTATTTTTTGGAAAGTATAACTACGTACAACGTGACCATTGGGATCATGACCTTTGACAGAACTAAAAATAGCTACGAGATCTTAAAATAACTTGATGTAGCTGTGGGACAATTCAATTTTGCATTTGGTTTTTTCAACGTTTAATTTCGATCTATCTAATTTGGAAGCAGAATTTTCTTTCAAATAAAATGAGAATGATTTATTTGAGGAATATTTAGGAAGTTGTATAAACAATATCTAAAAATCGATTGACCTTTTATGTGTATTTTAGATTCGAATCATACACAAGTCTGAAAGTACGCTGATGTAAATGATATCTTATTTGAGGAAGAATGATTTTTTTACGGGGATATTTAGGAATTGCAACTTTAATAAAAAGAATAGAACTATTTTTCACGATAAAAATCGGAAATAAGTCGGCATTTACGCTGTTTTTTTTTTTTCAATACAAATCATTTTTCGTGAACATTATTATTTTTAATAAAAAGCAAAAGACGTTATATTTAAAAGATAGTTAATTGTGCATTGTTTCCGAAGATTTTTCACTAATTTTATTTAAATAGAAATATTTTCATTCCGATGGTCAAATTATCCTTTATTTATTGCCCATTACAATTGTTTTTATGCCCAACCTAGGGCATTATGTTTTTCGGTCTGTGTGTCCGTCCATTCGTCCGTCTGTCCCGCTTAGGTTTAAGTTTTTGGTCAAGGTAGTTTTTGATGAAGTTGAAGTCCAATCAACTTGAAACTTAGTACACATGTTCCCTATGATATGATCTTTTTAATTGTAATGCCAATTTAGAGTTTTGACCCCAATTTCACTTTCCACTGAACATAGGATATGATAGTGGGAGTGGGGCATCTGTGTACTATGGACAAATTCTTGTTTAATAATCAGTTTTGTGGAAAAGTTGGCCCGGTTAGGAGTGAACAAATACATTCTCTTCAATTTCATTACCGTTATTTTTTTTTGTTAGCATACTTCAACCTACAGTTACCCAGTTCTTTAAGGCCAAAGACAGAAGAATCAACTCTCTGTGTTAGGAAATTTACAATGGTTTGACGTGTATTTGTATTTCGTCACTGTCCGCGTACCTAAAAATCCAGTCGTTTTTAACAGACGGGGCTAACCTGGTATCCTGGTGAACTGCCCCTTTACTCTTTATAACGAGGCCCCTTAAACTTATCGCTTACAGTATTGAAGATAAATACATTTTGTATCAGCTTCTTTGATTGGTCAATATTTGAATGTTGACAATCATGGCATGATGGTGTCGTTTTTGAAGTGTGAAAGGTGCCCAGCCGGTAAGCCGATTAAAATACCGGCATCAACTTAAAACAGACATATTTCAAAACACAAATACGATGAAGAGGTTAGAGAACGTAAATATCTCAATGTTTGGACCAAGGACAGACCGTGGTTGTATTTACAAGAGATTGATTTAATAAATGAAGAAAACATATATTGTGTTCGAATCTGGGTACGTTCGCCCAAATTCACGTTCGCACCCTTTTTATTGGTTTTGTGTTGAAAAATTTTTTAATCGTGTTTTAGTTATAACAGTCACAATTGTAATCAAAGTTCAAAGTCTACTGTGGCAGAAAATCGTCAACTGGTTTGCCTGATGGTCTATACAGTCTTTATCAAATCAAATCCCCCCAAAAAAATTTCATTTTGAAATTCCTAAATTTATTTAATGAAAATGTATCTAAAAAACATATAATAATTCAATCGGTATTTGAATAAAAATAGGCTGCGAACAGACCCAGGGGCAAACGGACCTGATACTATTGTGTTCAATATTACTAATCACCTATAGAATTTATATATTTGGTATCTTCCAAACATGACTCTCAAAGCTCTCAGAACATGCAGAATGCATGATTTTGCATCAAAATTTTTCAAAATTTTTCTGGGCATGCCCCCAGATCCTTCTAGCTAGTTCACGCCGCGCTGCAGTGCTCACCGGTGATAGTAATTTGTGGGGACTCAGGGATGATACCAGCTGTTTTTACATGGGTCCCTTGACCATCAAATTGGGAATTTTTATCCCAATTGGGAATTTTTTATGCAAAAGCCAGGGTATGTGTTGTAAGTCATAATGGAATGATTACTCTTCAGGTAGGTGAAGTGTGATAGCATTGCTTCCCTTAAAGGTAAAACAAAACACATTCATCAGTATGAAACACCAAAACTGAACAGTTATCAACTTGGAAGGCCTTCTACGAATGATTCTGACAGCAGAAATAAGCCTGTCATATGTACATCCTTTTGTAGACAATTCAATTTAGAGTTACAACATAACAAGTTTCAGTGGGATATACAGCCGTGGAATCAAATATAAAGTAAGTTTGTCACAGAGTGTCATTTCTCAGAAATGTGAGTTGGGTACCTTGTGTTATATTAAGGTGTATATGTAAAAAAATCAGAGACAAGTGCCTGTGGGATAACCCCCAAGTCCTGTTCAGGTTGTTGACGATAGATTCAAACCTGTATGTTCACTATTATTCTATTAATCACAAGTGAATATCATTATCTTTTACAAAAAATCAGCTAATTGTACAATTGTCAGTTATTGTTTGTATTTCATTTCATAACCATTTAATGTAATTGACAAATGGGTTTGTGCAAATAAAAGTTTGAGTTTCAAAAAACATGGTTATTTTGAATTAGTCACGTCGTGGCGACTTGTTTCCATTCGTATTTGATTTATAAACTTCCTTTATGAACTCTTTTACCTTAGATTTTAATGACTGCGTTTTATTATTCTTTTTAACCATTTTGTGTGCTTCACCATGTGCTCTTCTACACGTGTGTATTGGGGACGAACTAGCTCGTTTCGTCCCAAATTCCGTCGTAATATTCCTGTTCGCCACAGGTCGTTTCGTCCCGATAGAAAAAAATTAATCAAAGTTTACAACAAAACAAAATTAAAGAAATTGCAAGGAATGGAAACTGCTAAGTTTCTATGTGGTTTGGATGTGAACGAAACATAATTGTTTTCAGCACAAAAAACATAAAAACAATCCGATAAACCGATGATCACTGAGATTTTCATCACATGGAGTTCATTGAAATATGCCGATAAACGATTTACAGTCGGTATTTGTACAGTCTAGGGTCAAAAGTGTTTCACCAATCCTAAATCCCCCTATGAATTCATATGAAACACATATTGTATATGTCTCTGTTTATGAAATATTTTTAAGACATCACGGTCATTACCGATAAATCAATATTTGTATATGAATATTAAAATTAAGTGCAATTTTTCCCTATATAACCATATGATTTCTTCGTTCAGAAATTTATTTTTGTCTTTAAACAGTGATTTCACCAAGGATTTGTATAGTAAGATTGACGAAAAATGTTTAAGCTATAAACCATACTATACAAATCCTTGATTTCACTAAAAATGTAAATCATATAAATATTTCATAAGTTTGCACAAGGAATTGTATATTAAATATACAATTCCTTGGTTTGCAAGAAACTGCAGAAATTTCTGTATTCAAGGATGTACTAAGGTGAAATCAAAAAAAAATTGATACTATAAGTCATAAGAGCATTAGTTAAGGATCAAAATAAGCAAAAAATATTGATATGTTATGGAGCTCCTTTTCGAGATATTTGTTTTTTAAATGGCGGGAAAAGACCTTATATTTGCATTGGTATTATTTGGGTCTCAAATCGAAAGAAAATAAATCAAGAATCTGCTTACATTTGAAATGAGCTATTGAAGTCTTAAATGAAAAGAAAAATGGGGGTTATGGGGCAAAATAGTTTACCCTGTATTAAAGGAAAAAACCAAGGAGTCCGAACATCTGACACAAATTCCTAAACCTCACCTAAGTACATCCTTAAGGGGGGGAAATCATTCAATTTGGACAAGAAATACCTTCAGTAAAATTTTTATTCTATCTGTGTTTTTTATGAAATAATACGGGAATTTCAAAAGAGGTATAGGGGAGACATAATAGAGACAGTTAAAGATTTTAACTATCTGGGAGTTCTACTTAACCGTAATGGAAACTTTAAAAAAAAAGCAAAGGAAGAAGCCTCTCGTAAAAGCCGAAAATCCATGTATGAGGTTTTAAAGCTAGAAAGATTACACAATATGTCTATTATAATACAGTTAGACCTATTTGATAAAATGGTGATGCCCGCCGTCTTTTGTACGGTTGCGAAATATGGGGAACAGGTAACAACGATATCATTGAAAGGGTTCACTTAAAGTTTTGTAAGATGCTTTTACAACTTAAATCGTCAACACGGTCTTTTATGGTATATGGCGAACTTGGAAGGTTTCCTCTCGAAATACAAATAAAAACAAGAATTCTATAATTTTGGGCAAAATTAATTGAGGGTGAAAGTTCGAAACTGTCCTCTATAACATACAAACTGATTTACCAATTGAAAATTGTCAATAATGTAGGGTCTCCATGTAGTCCAGCCCTGGCCTCAGTGACTTATTTTCAATTTTTATTTTTTTTGTCAGTGACAAAAAAAAAAAAAAGTTGAAAATAAGTCACTGAGGCCAGGGCTGGACTAGGTCTCCATGGTTATCGAGTATAACGAGTATACTCAATACTAGTAATTGTGGATTGACATATGTATGGAACACACAAACTTTTATGAACAAGGGATGGTTGGTAAAAACAGTTGTTCAAAGTATGAAAGATCAATATGAACAAAATTGGCATAGTGAAATGGAAAACTCGTCAAAATCACTTTGTTACCGGCTATTCAAACAAAAACTTGAATTTAAAAGTTATTTTTATATTTTAGAAACCAACGAAATAATTGAACTCTGCAAGTTTAGGACAACAAATCACAAGCTACCCATTGAACAAGGAAGATGGCAAAATATCCAACGTGAAAAAAGATTTTGCCCATTCTGCGACTTGAATGAAATTGGGGACGAATTTCATTACATAATGTCATGCAGAAAATTTGCCAACATTCGACGTTTATTTATCCGAGAAAAATTTTCAAAACGTCCAAATACACTTAAATGTGGAGATCTTATGACCTGTAAAAAAATCGATACTTTCGAAACTCTGTAAATTTATCAAAATTGTTGATAAGGTGTTGTGTGATCCGGGCTGACATCTCTCTCATATATGTTGATTTGTTACTAATATTGTGTTCTCTGTACCATTCCACTGTAAATGGTTTGTTGAGAAATAAAGATATATATAACAAAGAGAGAAAACACAATTAGCTCAACGATAAACCAATTGCAAACATTTCAGTATCACCCTTATCTTAGACGTTTCGACCTATTATCGTTCGCCCCAGGTAGTGGAACAGACCAACACAGAGATGGCTTTGATAGAGAAATCAGCAAAGACTAGGTAGAAGCCGCGTTATATACCGCCATCGTATAGGGATGCCCCAGGCCCGGATCAGCAGTTTGCTGAATTTTTCAAGCATGCAGGGGATGAACACAGAAGCTATAGCGGTAATGATGAACAACATATGACAGAAAGGGGAAATACCAACAGAATGGAAAATGGCACTATCGGATGTAAAATTCCTAAGAAACCCTGGGAAATTAAGCCAGCTATTACTCTTCCTCTTCCTACAGACCAATCAGCCTAACATGCATACTAGCATTGTACTATCTTTACGTTTTGAGCAGTTCTTTTACAAACTCTTCAAGAAAGATCAAATGTTCAATTTACATAATAATAAATATTAGAGGCCTATTTTTTTTAATTCTGAAACATTAACCTGGTTTTGAACTTTTTAACTGTTAAAAGGTTTTTTTGACGGATCGGTCTTAACCCCGCGGTTAAATTGTTAAAGAACATCTCAGCTGGGATCGAAAGCATGTTTTAGATATTTTCAAATGGTTTATAGCTTAAACATTTTTCTTCAATCGTTGTGTTTTATTTCTCTCTTGAACATACTTATGGTTTATAGCAGGTTTTTTTTTAACCATTTACAAGTTTAGGCTTGTTTTTTTTATTCTGAACCATTAACCTGGTTTTAAACATTTTTATGGTTAACAGTTTTTTGACGGGTCGGTCTTAACCATGCGATTAAATGGTTAAAGAACATTTCAACCGGGATCAAAAGCATGTTTTAGATATTTTCAAAATGATTTATAGCTTAAACATTTTTCTTCAACCGTTGCGTTTTTTTCTCCCTTTTAACATGTTTATGGTTTAAGCTTAAACATATTTCAGGTTGTTTTTAACCAGTAACTAGTTTGATTTAAAAAAAAAACAGTGTAAAAAAACCAGGCCTTTAGTGTGATATGAGGCCCTCCACCATGCTTGGTCCGTATATTTACTCGCTTGGCTTAAAAGAATTAAAAAAAACTATCACTTAAAAATTTCTCTCACTGTGCTATTTTTTAATCTATAAAACTACATACAAACTAAATGTAGAATTAAATTTCAAAATGGCTAAAGCAAATAATTTATATGGACTTGTAGTAAAAACTTGTGGATGTTCTTTATAGGCCCATGTTATTTAATCTTTATACAAACGGCCTTGTTAATGACATAAACCATGCAAATACTCACCCACTAATAATTGGTGATGCTAATTAAACTAGCATCTTAAGTTTGTTATATGCAGATGATATTTTTTTATTATCAAAAACTCAAAGAAGGTCTACAGAATGAACGATGAGTTAAATGTATACATATTGTTCCGGATGGAAACTTGATGTTTAATTAACAAAACAAAAAAAAAGATATTTGACTATAATCCAATGGAAGAATCATGAATGTGACAAAATTCATTTTTGTGGTCCTTTATAATCAGAATACGGGTAGATGAGTAAAATGATGTCTTTAATTTCCATGTATAATGTGCGTTGCTATGGCAACAGTCCAAACAACATTTTGCCTATATACGTGCAAAAAGTAGCCTTTGAAAATTGAAAATAAGGGGAATTTAATATCCATTGGAAATAAAGTTAATCAATAAAACAAAACACCATACTATTAAAAAATGTTAAAATGTTACATTTATGTTATAGTTTGTTCCCTTAGCAATTATATAAAGTCTCTAGTAAATCAGTCTAAGCGTACTCAAGTTAAGGTACAGCCTGTGAAATATTTACTCAAATTTGAAGTAAAGTCCCATATAACTCTTAGAGCACCAAACCAGAAAATTTTTGAAATCAAAATGGAATACTAGTATAAAATATGAAATAAATTTTACTTTACAAAAATTCTTGTTTTTGCATTGAAAAGGGCATTTTGGAGAGTAAATTCATTTTTATATGTCCGTGTTTTTTCGAGAGCAGTCCGTGTTTTTTCGAGTGCGTCCTTGTTTTATCGAGTGAAAAACAAACTTCTCCTATGGTTTAAAATGTGCATTTACGTTTAAAAAAACATGAAAAGGTTCAAATAAAGTACTTTTCAAAGCACGTCACAATGCACTGAACCAGTTTGATAATCATTTATGCTGTATTAGCACGTGCATTTCATAAATTGACATCGTTCATTTGCATTCAGAAATCCTTATGTTAGTGTAGTACCGATATGGATTTCATACAGTAAATATTTCATGATGTTAACAATTTTTATGTGAGTTCAGACATGTTGGATTGAGACGTACGTACGTATACGTAGTGTGTAAAGCGGGTACATATGTGTGTTTTTTTAACAGAAAATATATCCTAAATGTTTCATTTACTATTTGTCTTGATGGTAATATGTTTTATCGTCATAGAAACGGAAATTTTCAAATGCACCTACTGTCAATAGGAGTTAGGTCAAGCGTTTGGTATGCTTGGTCACACAGTAATGAAGCACCATTGTCAGAAATTAAAAGAATAAACATTAACAATGTAAAGGTTCAAATAAAA